AATGGGAGCACAGTGTTGGTCTTGGGGGCCCCTCATTTCCTTCCCCTCACCCCCACTCCTTCTCTCTGCCTCCCTCCTGCTTCTTGCCTTTAAAAACTTCTGCTGTTTATTATGAAAAATGTCAAAACATACCCAAAGGTAGATGTGAGGACAGAGAACAGAGGTCCCCACACCAGAGCCAGCGCGAGCACGAGGTTCTGCCTCGGGCCTGTGTTGGGGCCTCAGTTCTGCAGCCTGCTTGGAGCTCACAGGGTCCCAGGCGGTGCTGTGCGCCCAGGAGCACACCCGAGAGCCCGCGGCCCACCGTGGCCCAGCCCCAGCTGTCAGCTCAAATTGCCCCTCCAGGTTATTTTAAGGCCAGTCTGAGGGAGAGCATATCATTCCATCCTTAAACATTTTAGTGCACATCTGAACAGAAATGGTAGGGAAGGAGGAGGTGGGCGCAGCGCTCCGCCTTCCCCAGAGCCCCTTGGGGGGCGCTCGTCCCCACCTTTGCTTGTTGGCCCCTTGTGGGAAAGGTGGAGGACAGCCATGGACCCTGAGGGCCCTGCCGAGGCGCTCCTTGAGTGGGAGCCGCTGCTGGAGGCACCCAGTGCCCTGAAGTCGCACAGAAACAAGCTTGTCCCAAGTCAATCAGTGGAGCACCCAGGGGACTCTAATAGGAGCCAAAGAATGATGTAAATCTGACAGCTCGTTAGGAAATGTACACAGCCGTGTGTTCCAAATTTTTTGTTCTTTAAGCCCTGTGCAGTTCATACTTTGTATCCCAAATTCCATAAATCCATGTACTTTTCTCCATCCCTTCCATCCTACCAGCTTCTTCTGACCGTCATCCCCCTTGAGGTTGGGGGCTTGGGGAGAATAATGTGGAGGCACACCCCAGCCTGACGCCTCCCGGACTCGCAGGTGTGCAGGTGTCAGTGAGAACACAGGGTGCTCAGGTGTGGGTGAGCGTCCTGCGTTCCACTGGCATCTGGGAGGTGGCCTGGTGGGGCGGTTCTTCAAGGTTTTCTGGCTTATAGGACCACCTGGGCCCCTGACGCTCCCTCCAGCACCCTCTGGCATCCCACACTGCTTCAGCCTTCCCGTTCATGGGCTCCCTGGCTCAGAAGCAGCCTCTGCTCACTTCTGAATCTCACAGTGCCCTCCCACCCCTGTTCCTGCGTCTCCCGTTTAAGCCAGAGCAGTATTTCTAAAACGAAAGTCACACCGTGCTCTGTTCCCTGTTAAACTCTTCGGTGGTTCTGCATTCCTTCAAGATAAGGCTTCAGAATCAGGGGGTGAGAGCAGGGGCCCGCACCCCAGGCCCTGCGGACTTCTCTGCCTTGTCGTGCCCGCCAGCACTGGCTCTCTCCTCTGTGCTTTTCAGGGTTTGGCTTAGGGCTTGCGTCCTTCAGAAAGCCTTTGCCACCTCCCAGGACTGGATTAAGTTCTCCTCCAAAGCAGCCCCGGCACGTTCTGACATCCGTGTAGCATTGTCACTTGTACGTGGTGATCGGTTGCTTTCTCTGCCTGCATCCTCTGCGATGGGACTCAAACTGCAGTTTGCATGCTCTCCTCCAGCTGTGTCATGCCGTGGCCCTGGGCAGGTGATGGCCCTTAAACTGCACAGAAAGTGAAAGTAAACAGTGGAAACAGTCACACGGCTGTGACCTCAAGCATATGAGTTTATGTTTCACAAAAGTGGCGGGTGGTGATGGGTTTGTCCTGCAGCACCGAGCATGGGCCTGGGGCACATGAGCCCCAGAACTCAGCTTCGACCATCTGTGGCTGGAGGGCAGGGCTGGCCTCCCAGCACTGGGTGGATGGGAGTGAATTCCTGCCTGCATATCGGTGTGTTGGGCCATAGCTATTTCATATTCCTTGTTCATTTAATGACGTAACATATCAGATACTTTCTCTGGTGCCTTTGCAGCAATCATCTGAGTGGTCACTGCCTCTCGTGCTGTGTGTTGGGCTGTGTACTGTTCTTCGCAGTGTCAGTGTTCTAGCACGAATCGTGTTGTCAAAATTGAGGTTTTCCTTTTAGGCATCTCAGGCTAGTGTCAGAGTTGTTCTGCTGGTAATTTATGTGCTCATCAGGTTGGCTGTACAGAGGCTTTGTACCAACTTAAATATTGGTCCATACATCCTATGGGTTTGTTAGCCAGATCACCCCGGAAGCAGGCACAATTGCTGCCACTTCCTGTGTCTGAGGTGTTTGCTCTCCATGCATGAGTCACATGAGAATCCTGAGACATACATGCTTCACAAGGTGGTGTTTTCAAGGATTGGAAATTATACCGACTCACAAATTTTATCTTTTATAAATTCTAATCATAGTGGAGATTGGCCACAGTCTTGGAGGTTGGCTGGCTTGTGTCCTCATAAGGAATTTATTCTGTAAAGTGGTTCCTTCATCACCCCAAACCCAGGTCCCCCATAGTGAGGGTTGTTAGTTTTTAGTTTGTTGGCACCATTATTCCATGGACAGAACAGATGTGGAGCTGGACGTGAGGGCCAGAGGGGAGGGTGGGTCCTGATGGAGCCCTTCACTGGGCGGAGGGAGGCCCCACAGGTAGCTGAGGTCTGGGGGGACAATATTTTGGAGGCCTGCCTGTGTGGTGGGGAGGCCACCCTGGGCAGCAGGGACTACGTGCTCACGTAGGTGGTCTGTTCAAGGGTAGTTGCCCCAGGTCCAGCCAGAGCTACACCAAAGTAGGTGAGGGGCTGGACAGGCAGGCTGGGGAGTGGGTGGGTATGCAGGTGCTCAGAACCCCCTCCAGGTCACAGAGATACTCTCGTGGAAAGAGCAGGGGTCCCCTTGGACTTGCCTTGGTTACCTGTTACTGCCTAACAAACCTAGTCGCTCACAGCAGCACATTCCCTTGTCTCGGCGTCTGTGGGTCGGGGCTCTGGGCCCAGCTTACAGGGCCCTCTGCTCTCTCAAGGCTGCAGTCAAGCGGTCCGCCTGACTGCGTCCTTCCTGGAGCCTGAGGTCCTCTCTGAGCCCACGTGGCTGGCAGCAGAACTCAGTTTCTTGCTCTTGTGGGGCTGAGGTCCCGTTTTCTGGCTGGCTGTCAGCTGGGTCGTGCTCATCTCTTACAGGCCACCTGCAGTTCCCTGTTGTGTGGCCCCTCACAGCCCTCTCAGTGCGGCAGCTTGCTCTGTCAGTGCCTGCAGGGGGGTCTCTGACTTCCACAGCCTCTTGTAAATGGTTCACCTGATGAAGTCAGGCCCACCTGGAATGATCGGTATTTTGATTGACTCGAAGTTAACTTATGAGGGGCCTGAATTATTTGTGCATTTCTCTTTGCCAGATAATATAACCCTGTCACGGGAGTGACATCTGTCATACAGTTCTGCCCACACTCAAGGGAAGAGGATTATGTAGACACGAATGTGGGGGGTGGGGACCTTGGGACCCTGTGGGGCTCTGCCTGCCCGCTCCTCTGCCCCGTCCCGTCTGGCAGCCCCTACTGCCCCAACTCCTTTCCTCTCCTCACATTCTCATTGCTCTCCCAGCTTCCTCCCAGTGCCAGGACCCTGTTCCTCCTTCCCACCAGATGGGCTTCAGCTGCGTGGTCTGTGCGGGCTTAGACCCCGAGCCCCTGCCTCCCCCAGGAAGGGCCGGGGAGGCCAGCTGCCCTCCGGTGAGCAGGGACCTCCTGACAGCCCGTCAGGACTGACCTCAGCATGGCGAGATGTCCGTCCGAGGGACCTTCCCTTTCCCTTCCCTCCAGCCTGTGGGATCTTTTTATAGAGTTGAGGGGCCCTTTGCACAATGTCGCATGGTTTAGAAAATTGAAAATGGCATCAAGGTATCAAAGCTCTGATGCAGTTGTGATATTTGACACCCCTTGATTTGAAGGACACAGGCTGGGCTGCTGAAGGAACCACGTGAACGAACCAAGTTATGTATGGAGTGAATTCCTTACAAGGACACAAGCCAGCCCAGCTCTGACAGATCAGCTATGGTCAGTTTTTGACTTAGAAAGAAGATACTTTTGTAATTCAGTATGGCTCCGGGGGAGAGACTGGAGCCGAGGCGCTGGGCCACCTGGCTACTCCCTGGCCACCTGGCCGCACTGGAAGCACACGGGCCGGCTCTGACGGCCGCATTTTAAGGTCATCTAGGGAATAGTGGGGCACCTGAAAACTGTCTCCAGAATTCCTGGTGGAAGAACTGTAGGTGTATTCCCAAGGAAATTAATTCCGGTGCACAGGGGCCAGTTTCCTCACCGGACTGTGGGGTCATCTGAGATAGTCGTAGACACAGCATTTTAAATGCTTTCACATAGCACACAGCTCAACAGCTATAGGTTGGTGGTTAAATGGATGCAGATTTTTTTTTTTATGTGACGCTTCTAACAGCTTGAACTGCTCCACTCTGGTCTCAGTTGTCTTGAGAAAAATGGGCTTCCAGGCACTGCAGGTGTTGAGGGGGAAGCACAGCCCAGGGAATGGGAGGTGACCAGACAGGAGTTCCAGAAAGTGGCACCAGAATCCCAGCCCCATGCCCTTGGATGGGTCTGGGCGCCTGTCCAGGCCTCTGCTTCCTGCTCTGTAAAGGGCGGGGTTGAGCCACTGACCCGTGGTCACGTCCAGCTCCAGTGCTTTGCTCCATGCATTAGCCTGTCGCTCCAGAGGCAGGCAGACTGTCCAGGCCTGCCACGTATGGGCTTTGTGACCTTGGGCAAGTTTCTTACCCTCTCGTACCTTAGTGCCCTGGTCTACAGTCTGGAGATGGCATAGACTGGGAGGAGTACATGGCATAATATATATAAAGCCCTTAGAATGGTGCCCACTTAGCATTTGGTGAGCATTTGATCAATGCTGGCAATCAGTACTGAAATTCCTACAACTGTCACCCCTGACAACCTTTTTACCTCTTAAGAGTCTGTGATGCTGAAATTTATTAAACGCGGAGTAAGATTTTTCTTCAACAGCGTCGTTGTTAAATGTGTTCTCAGAAGTTGCCGCTGGCCTGTCTCCTGATAAAAATTCTGGGTCTGTTTCAGGCGGAGGCCCGGTTGGCAGCGAAGCGCGCAGCCCGCGCCGAGGCTCGAGAGATCCGCATGAAGGAGCTGGAGCGGCAGCAGAGGGAGGTAACATGTGGAGTCCTTCGTGGGTTCTTGGCACAAACGTTTTATTGTAGGTACACTGGCGGGCAGAGGCCCTGTTGTGGACACACCTGCTCGTTTGACATTGCTCATGACCGGAACCCACTTGAGCCTCTGACTCCCGTTCAAGGTCAGTCAGGGAGTGCGCATAGCACAGATACCAGGCGTGCCTGTCCCAGACACTCGACCTGTAGGGTCCTGAGAGGGGCCCCCTGCACAGAGCTGCTTGCCTGTGTAGACCTGCCCAGCCGCTTGCCTGCATAGACCCAGCCCAGCTTTCTGGCTGAAAGAAGCCACAAGGTACCGGCACTGAGCTTCCAGTTCCAGCTATTGAGCTAGAATCCAGTCCTCTGAAGTAAATGTGAAAAAAGAACAAATTATTTTTTTAAACTAACCAAACTGTCTTGTTTAAAAATATTTCCCCTGTGATTTTTTTATACTTTTTGATAGGTTTTATGATACCTGAAGCCCATATATGATATAGAGACTAGAATAAACACCATGGGTGAAATTGCCCCACCGGGAAATGAATAGAAATGTGTTTACACACCTGTTAGTGCTGTTGGCTACTCACATAATCTTGGGCTGGAGCCAGCGTGGCTCCATGGGAACAGCATGAGGACTCTTGAACCTGCCCTTGGAGCAGCGAGCATTTCCGTGGGAAATGAGGCATGACCCTGTGCATCAGGTCTGCTCTCCATGGGCCATGCCCAGAGGGAGCATCTACTAAGTGCCACCCAAGGGTTTCTCGTTCAGAGGATTTGAATTTATCAGGTTGGGGAGAGTCAGCCAACCCCCTTCCCAGGGCTGAGTTTCACGCACAGTCTTGTTTGATTCACATAGCTAAATTTAAAAAGTTGAGCCAGTATTTCAAAACTTGTGAGACTTTTCAAGTTTTTCGAAAACCATTCCAGATTCTGCCGCATTCCCAAGGTTGCATTCTGTGTAGGGTGAGGTCCCTGCCACCAGCCTGAGGTGCTCATTGTCATTACCAGCCCGAGGAGTCAGCCACTCCATGCAGCAATTTGTAAGCAGGGAAGAGACATGGCCAGATTTGAATTTGGGGAAGAAAACACTTCAGTGGGGTTTAAAGAATGGGTTAAAGATTACTAGAAACCCAAGCCCTGATGTTAGGAGAGTCAGACCACAGTCCCCATGACGGGCAGGCAGGGGTCACCAAGGCAGCCCCACAGTGATGGAGACAGAAGGGGACATTGTTCCCAAGAGAGAGGCTACACCGCAGTCACTGGGAGGGACCTGAGCAGGTGAGAACAGCCACTCTTAAACCGGACTTTAGGAATTGCTTGCCTGGTGTTTACGTGGGAGTAAAGACTAAACAAATATTTGAAAATAGATCACCACTGTCTCCCTCGGTGTTGGAGATTCAAATATGGCTGTATGTATATTTTTATTATATTTTGCCTCTAGAATTAATTTAGTACTTTATTGTACTTTTTCCCTCTTAATTTATTCCAGGAAGCATGGGTAAAGCATCTTCTCAGTGCCTTCCCCCCCAGAATCACATTTGTCATTGAAAAATTGGAAATAGTTACCTCTGAATTTTTGTGTTCAGTATCTGAACCTTACAATCTCAGTGACACTTATAAGTCCCAAGGATGAGCATGAAACACCTCCCCACCTCATTATGTCAGTAGAGGGTGATGTTTGGCTCTAATTGGGATGGAACCTGATGCACGCTTGGCCACAAACTCCGTCCGAGGAGGGATTGACAGTCATTCCAAGAAGCATTTGCAGGCAAGTCTCCAGAGGGAAGTGTTTAGACAGGGAGGTGAGAATAGGAATAGGTCTGCTTAGAGGTCTTTGTCACATACCTGTCTGAGACAGCGCACCCGTGTTTTAGGGGCCATCCTGACCCCAAGCAGCCTAGGCTTTTTTATATTAAGGTGGTAACAGATTTGTGAGAAGAATCTCCCCAAAATTTTCTTGGTTTGCCACAGCTGAATGAGTTTGAACTGCGCGTATTTCGGGGGGCCAGAGGCCATCCTCTCAGGCCTGGGGTTGGAGCTGAACCAGTGGACTCAGAGGAGAAAGGTGACAGTGACTCTGTGTAGGGCCCCACCTTCCATTCTCACCATGGTGTCAGTAATCATTGTATCATTTTTCTCTGTATAAGAGAAAGTTACTTTCACCAAGAACACAAATGTGAAATTTCTGTAAAATCAACACAAACACAAATTATATGGTATATACGTTCATATGTATTTTCCAAATCATACGCTTAGATAAAATCTGTCTTACCTGATTGTGCGTAGAACTGATTTAAATGCATACATGATAACATTCACAGCTTATAACTCACAAGGTGCTTTGGCAGAAGTTCTTGATTTAGAAAATAAAAGATGAAAGGAATTAAGCCAGGAAAACTATTTGAATGGCCTCATTTAAAAGCAGAGGGAATGGAAATCCTCTCCTCTCCTGCCTTAATGCTATGACTTAACAGAATCTGTTGCTGAACTCTTGTGTTTCAGTTGCAATATTTCAAGCTACCCAAAGACAAACTTGTGGTCTTTCAATTTTGGTATCATAAAACTGGGATGGATGTCAGCAGGGGGAGTGAGATATGTGGAGGGTCCCAACCACCTGCCACAGTGCCTAGTGAGGCTGAGGAAGCCTCCACTGCACCCTAGGGACAGGGGAGTCCCCTGGGGTTAAATAACCCGTGCCCACTGCAGGCGGTTAGGCGGCGGCGACATTCAAACCCTGACCTCTGACCAGCACCACGGACGCCCTGGGCATTTGCTGCCTGCTCAGGAGCTCCTGCTTTGCCGAGCAAGGCTGATGAAAACCTGGGAAACCCAGTTAAACCTGCCCCTGTTGCATTCCTGGGTTCCACATGCAAATGTCTTGGTTAGCAGACAGCACCGGGACTTTGAAATGCCCTGTTCTGACATTTGATGCACTGCCTCTGTAGACATCTAAGTGGTGCCCAGGGATCAGATGTGATGTTTTGTCATGAGGTGAGTTCCGTGGAGCATCTTACGGGTGGTTCGGTGATGTGGGTCCTCAGCAGACACTCCCCTGCAGCAGTGTCTTCAGAGGCCGTCTGAGCTGAGAGGGCCCCGTGGAGAGCCTGGCCTCCTGTGCAGACAGCTAAGTGTCGCGGGGGAAGCAGGGACGCTAACTCAGGTCTGCACAGCCTGTGGGGATGGCAGGAGTGGGGGTGAGAGCCAGGTGGGGAGGCTGAGGCATGGCCGAGGCGCCCAGCTCTGTCCTCTGTGTTGACCCCGTTCACCCAGCAGGAGCTCTGGCTCATACCAGTGAGTTTTCCTATCATAAATTTCGGGTCTTTGCAGTATGACAGCATTGCTATTTAAAGTTTGCTTCTTCAAAACAAGGGATTTGAAAGGTCTAAAAAAGTAGATGAATATTTTATTCCTAGTCAAAGAGGAACCCAGACGCTGGGGGACAGTCACTCTCAGTCCATGAGGGGATCTGCCCGAGTTTTATTTACAGGCGAGGAAAGCAGACCTGAGGGAGATCAGACCGTTTTCCCTGCAGCCAGGAAAATGCTGAGCTCAGATTCAGACTAGATCTGAAAAGGCTGCAAAGCTTATGGTCTTCCTGGTAGATCCTCTGCCTGAAAATCAAACATAGGATCAACCATGAAAACAGAAACAGGGCAGGGCGGTGTGTGAACAAGGGATTCAGGTCGGTGGTGAGCGTGCTGCACCCCCAGCAGGAGGGGAAATGGAGCGATCCACATGATCCTAGGCACTTTGAAAACTTGAAAAACAAGTTTTCCATTGGTGCTGAGGGCATACAGCTGGCAATTTTGTTAGCAAGAGGTTTCCTGGGAAGTGGTAGCTGTTTATGTGGCTGTGTCTCCCTTGGCCCACGTCAGGGGTTGGGGTGAACCTGTGAGTGCACGTGAGCCATGAGCGCTCGGGTCTACTTCAGAGAGAGGAGAGAGCCCAGCTCTCGGGTCTAAGCCTGTAGGTCCCCTGACGTGCTGAAGGACTGAGGAAGGTGGACAGACCGCACCTCTCTCAGCCTGGCCTTCGCATATCCTGTCTCTAGGCCTGACTGTTATCAGACGTAGCCAACGTAGCCAACGTAATTTGCAGTTATCCAGTCTGATAGCCTGAGGCACTGGCATTTTTAGTTGTTGATTAAGTGGAAATGAATATGCTCTGAAAGACCAGTGTTTAGTAGGGTTGATATTTTGGTGCAAAAGTTAAGAAACGTGATCCCTGTTTTCACGGGGTGTTGAGCCATCCCACCTCCACAGGTGTTTCTGAGCAAGGGTTTCCTTGAGAAGGAGGTCAGATCAGCTGGACGTGGACAGAACCTGTGAATGCCTGGAAGGGCAGTGACTGTTCCTGGGAGCTCAGGAGGCAGGAAGCTGCTGGCCCAGGTGGGGCTGTGGTTGAAGCGCATTAGTTCCTGGGATCCTCCACAGCAGTCATGGAGAGCGTGCGGACGGGAGAGGTGAGCAGAGGTGTCGGCATTGAGCGTCAGTCAGTCATCAAGCCCCGCAGCCGTGGGGACATGCGGACCCATGGCCTGGTTGGCTTCATCCCCCCGCCCGCCCAGCCCCAGCCCTCCCGTGGCCGCCTGCTGCTCTCCTAAGGTTCTTCCCGCCAGTGCGGGTGGTGAGACCGGAAGGCGGCCTGTGTGGGCTGTGCTTTGGGGGCTCTAGGGGACTTAGTAGGGAAGACCAACATGTGAATACTCTTTGGGAAGCCCAGGTGAAGCTTTTATTTCGTATGAGGACCTGCATTAATTTAAACAATGGTGGTGTGATGGTGAGGTGCCCTGATGGCCTGCGTGCGTCCGTGTGGTGGCTGCTGACGTGGTGAGTGTTTGCTGGGCTGCTGGGCTTGGAGCCATCACGGCGTTGGTCCTCCCTGCACTCACCTGTAAGGCTGGAAGCACCAGCTGCGGCAGTGCCTCCAACCATGCCTGAGTTGGTGAATGTTTGTTGACTGAATGAATGAAGCAGAGGTCTCGGTCTGCCTAGGGATTTCTCCAGATGAGGAGAAATCTCTGAAGCAAATTGATGTCAGTGTCTGACACGAAGCTTTCTCAGAAGTACATTTCCGTTCCAGTCTCGTGATCATTGTGTTACCTGGAATTTTCCTGGCATTGTTTGGATCTGCATGAATCAGAACGTGAAAGCATCTTTCTTCACTATTTGTAAATTTGACCAAACGACTTTCTAATTAAGTTTTCACAGTTTTTTTTAAAACTTTTATCGCCGTGAAAAGAAATTTTAAATTGAAGATGAAGTGCTCTTCTGCATTAATGGTAATAGTTTACACAGACTTCTGCATTAGAATGATAGAAGGATTTCTTTAGAAATTCATGTGGATCTGCCCAAGTCTCACCAACAAGTCTAAAATACAATGTAAAGTTAATTACTGATTCTTTCCACGAGATTTCACAAGTTAAGTTTAATTCATATTTTACCAGTAACCGCTGTTTTCTTTTTTTCAATGACTTTTATTCGTATTCCTAGGTACTCATAGAGCCTTTCTGATGTTTCTACTTCTGTAATTGGATGTTTTATTATTCTCCCTTTTTCTTCTGCCTTTTTCTATAGATCTATCAAGTTCAAAAGGTATGCTCTTCCTTCTTCCTTTTTTTTTGCATGTACTGTGTTTTCCTTGCCAAGGGCCTGATCACCTTTCAGAAATAACCTTTCATTGAAAATACATAGAAGCCCTTACTTATTTCTTCAACTGCTTTGCTTATGAACTGGTTTGAATTAAGTGCTGAGGTTCCCCACTCCTGCCCCCACGGAAGCAACTGTCAGACACATTTCTGTGTACTGAGGGCTTTTCTCATTCATTTTTCTCAAGGAACTAGAAAATGGTTTCTTTGAGAAAAATCAAATTCAAAGACAAAATAAAATCACACTCCGGAATTTGGGAAACCTTTTGAAATCAGATATTCAAAGAGGAAGATTAACCTTCTATATATAATGGTATTTGAAAACCTTTAAAATACCATTGCAAATTACCATGTGTTGAGAGATTATTGCATAGTGATTTTAAAATCTAAATACAAAGGAAAATGATGATATAATGATGAAATCCAGTAGCTTAAAATTAACCTGCCCTCAATCCCTAATACCCAGAATGCTACTGTACCTCTTTGTTTCCTCATGTTTTGTAGAAGCAGCTGAGGTTTAGAAATATATACACTGAACAGTCCAGACACAAAAGTTAAGAGAAAAGCAGTCAAGTCAGTGACTCCTGATTCAACAATAAGGAAGGAAGGAGTGAGTGGCTTCTTGAGAATTTAGAGGATGTGTATACAGTGAGTCGTTCCCATCAATGAAATTAGTTTGCTACTTATAACATCTATAATAGTTGCTTTATATAATCTATTTCATTTATAGATAAGGAAGAATGATATTTTTCTGTTACAACAGCTAAGAAAGTCAAAATAAGGTGACCATTTCAGAGGTTAGAACATGCAGGCCCTTTAAACCACTAGCAGTAAATTTAGAAGTGTGCCCGGGATTCCTCTGCCGTCCATAAATCTCACTGCCTTTCCTTCCTGCCCCACCCCTCACCCTGCATAACCACTACCCCCCAAGAGCCCAAAGAAATCAGTTAAGTAGGTGCCAGAATCTGTTTGTACGTTATTAGTGTTTTGGGTCCAAGTACTGAAATGTATTTTGAAGCTAGATCCAAACCAGACTTAGAGTCTCAGTAAGACTTCAACAGACAGAAGGCTCGGCTGGCAAGACTGGGGACCCCTCGCTGTAACATGGTTGTCCAAAACCGAAAGGGGACTCTGTCTGGTCGTTTCCACTTGGATTCATTCTTTTCTGAATCTGGTTCCCTATTATTTTCTTTTTACGAATACACCAGGGATGCATTGTTAGAAGTTTGTCAGAATGTTGATTTATATACAAAGTAAAACCGGAGGGAGCTCAGGAGGTCCTCAGTGGAAAAGCAGATACAGACTCTTACAATAAAGAAGTACCCGTGGGAAGGGATGGCTTTCCTCAGCCCTGAGATCTGAGAACGGTGTGCGTTGTCTCCCAGGCCATTTGGCTGTTTGGGGAAATGGTTTCTCTTCTCGAATCAAGCTATTTCTGAAAGTCAAGCACCTTTTGCTTTAGTCTGGCTTCTCTCTGCATGACTCACTGGCTAATCGTATTAGTTTTCATCTGAAATACTGGGTGCTTTCTGGAGTTTGCTGTGCTTGCCTGCTAGCTGACATCAGAACTACTGGTTGATTGCACTTACTGTTTCTAGGGGTTTTTTCTCCTCCCTGCAGTGACAGAAAAGAACCAGAGTTACAGCAGCTATTTATAAGGCCACCGGGAGATAGATGAAAGATTTCGAATATTGGTTCTTATTTTTATCACAAAAGGAGCAACAGTTAGTTTCCAGTATTTGATATAGGTATAGAACTGGCAGAAGGGAAACAGAAAAACTGATTATACAGACTTCTTTTGGGATTTAAATAAATGTGTGTGAATTTTATATAGGCCCCCCTCCTTTTTAGAAACATGGTTTCTTTCTGTCTTTGTAATTTGACCATGAGACGGGGAACCAACATAAACCGAATACAAGAAGCTTTAAGCTGTTTGTTGCACTTAAATTAAGTCTCACTTTCGTTAAAGCGAGACATTGGGAAGTGTTACTTTTTATTCCCTTTCTTAATTTATGTTCTAAGGAAAGTCACAGGAAAAGATTTGGCTCACGTACTTTTGATACTGCAACTCAGTATTTGTTGAATTCTTAGAGCCTTGTCAAATTCTTCCTCTTTTTCCCCCTTCTAATTTTCCCCTTGCCTCCATCTCCACGAGAAAGGGCAAGACCGTCAGAGAGAGAGCCATCTATTTAAAACCTGGCTGCCCTTCAAATTAAGCCGAAACTAAACGAAACGTAGCCGTAGCATGTTCTGGAAATCATAAAACAGTTTCAAAAACTGTCTTGAACTTCCCACATCCAGTGTGACTTTTCTTCTCACTGCAACATTTTCCCGTGTAGGAGGAAAATCATGCCTGTGTCACAGGATGTGAAGGTTTGGTCGTTCCTTACTTTTCTTACGGAAAATCGAAGGAAAAGTGAGAAGAGCAAAACCCCATTGCTTGAGGCTGTACCTGGGTTCCCTCTGAACTTCGGTATTTCTGTTTAGTGACAGTAAGAAGCCATTTGGAATCCGCTTTTCTAAATTTAACTTGGACTGCTGTGGTTTAGACAAGCAAGGCGAAAACATGGCGGCATCAGCTAAGGCGTCGCGAGCAGCTTCTCCTGCACAGGGACCCCCTTCCTCTGCAGGCCCACAGGCGTCTGTGCTCAGGGGCCTGCTCTGAAGACGGACCAGGGGGACATGCCCCTGGACCTGCATCAGCATAGACGTTAGGTAGCTGAGCAGCTTCCCAGCTTCCAGGGGCCATGGAGCAGTTTTTCCCCGTTTCTGCTACATTTTCTTCCCATCGTCGCGACACAGGGGTGGTTCTCAGCCTTCGCTTCTCTTCAACAGCCTTTATTCCTGGAGTGCATCTGCCCTCAAGCATGATCACAACGGGGGCTTGAAATGCCACTGGGCTAAGTCGCGATCCCTGGTCTCTGCAGAGGCGCCCCCTCGCCCAGGAACGCCGGTCCTGGGCTCTCCTGGCCTCTGGGTGTCTCTGCACCAGCTCACCAGCTGCACCCATCGCCCAGTGGCGCTTCCCGGGGAGCCCGAGCGTGTTGCTGAGTGCCTTGCCTGGGCGTGGACCTTCCCCGAGTGGCTGAGCAGCAACTTGGAAATGCATGTCGGGATATTTTCTTACCTGTTACCATTTCACTTCTTGCCTAATTTTATTTCCTTTCTGCCTCTAGAAATATTATGGGCTGGATACAAAATGGGGTGACATCGAGCAGTGGATGGTAGGCCTTGAATACAATTTTAAGAAACTTAAATGGTTTATAATTTGATTCCTTATACAGTTTAGTTATATTGATAGCCAAATTTAATACTATAATAATGGGAGATTTTCTTCCCAGGGCTTGGGCATCTGGCCTGATTGTTTACATCTGCTGGAAGCCTGGTTAGAAATGGACCAGGCTGGGCATTTTTGTCCGGTCTGCTCAGTGGCCACTGACTCGGAAGTCTCCAGGCTTTCGGTTTGTGGGCGTCTCCAGTGCCCCTGCCTCCCTGACCTCCTCTAGCTAACAAGGCACCGCAGGCTGGCGTGTGCCCCTCCCCGTGGGGGCACTTGCCTGTTTCCACCCTGTCTCACTGAGCTCTAGCTGGAATAGAGTCCATGTCCTGCTCCATCTCCTTCATTCTCGACCAGTCAGCTGCCCCGTCACCCTCGTTCCAGCCTTTATCTGGCTTTGCTGTCGGGTCCCCTCCTTACCTCTTCTGCTCTGCCTGCTGAAACCGCTGTTTGGTGAGAAAATCCCGTCGCCCTCTCAACCAGCTTCCCAGAACAGCTCCTCCGTTTCTAAGCCGGTGGAGAGCCGCTCTCCCCTAAGGCCCCATCTTCCTGACCCTCTCAGGAGGAGACGGTGCCCCTCGGCGTGGCCTCTGGAGGGGCAGCTTCCTGCTTGCTGCCCAGTGTTCCCAGGAGAACATGGCTTCACTGCTTTCTTTGTTAACTTACCCACGTTCTTCCCACCACCTCCTGTCCCTGACGTCATACTGACTGACCTCATGGACATCGTCACATGCTTTGAGCATTGAGGACCTGCCCAGTATGGAAATGTTCTATTAACGAACTTTCCTTTCTACCTAAAAGGATCCAAAGGAAATGTAGGGTTGCCTCCTAGAATCTTAGATACCTGTGACGATATAAAAGAGACTAGTTCTTGAAATACAAAAGAGCATCCACGTCCTCTATTGAAAAAAGTTATTAACCTCAGACTATATTATGGGTAAACCATCAATTTGGGGCTTATATGACCCAGACAGATGTATTTTTTCAAATCTTAAGACACAGTTGAAAGATGCACCATTGTTTCATATACTACCGAGAAAGGAAAAGTGCTGCTAATTATAATGTGAGCAGCTTTGATTATAAGATACACCAACTCTAGAGCTGTCCAGAGGTGAAAAGCAGAATGCACAGAATACAGAAGGGTGATGTCCTTATTGGATCTTTTATGGAAACAATTTATCCTCTGATTCCCAAAGAGAGTAAGGTTCAGAATGTAAGGAAAAAAAGTAGGTTAAATGGACCACATTATAAAGGTAAAAAAGACCCAGCTGTCCCCCAACACACACTTCAAAGCCAAAATGAAAAATGCCAGTTACTTATCTGCTTAAGTTACCCACCCACCCCAAAAGAAAACCGTTTCCTCAGTGGTTTAACCTTATAACAAAACCTTATAACAAAAGCAAAGGAAATGTTGACTTGCCATTTGTATCAGAAATACCTGTATGTGTCACAACTGGATCATCTAAGCTTATGTCTGCCTCTAACCTGTTCCTACTGTTTCTGCTGTTGCTTTGGTAGGAAGACAGTGAGCGATACTCACGTAGATCCAGAAGAAACACCTCGGTCAGTACCGTGTTCATTCACTACTTAGGCATTTTGAGTGAAGTCTGATTTGTAGTTTCAGTGGCTGAAGTACATACATTCTGTATATGCATATATATACATATGATGCTTTTGAAAGAATTACTATTCTGATGTTATACCCAAACAAAGACTGTGAACTCAGCTTTGAGCATTTTGACCTCACTTTGGTGAGGGGATGGTGTTTAAAGAATGTCTGAGTGTCAATATATTCATGACCGCCTTGTCCTTTGTTTGCTATTCAATATCCATGAAAAATTTGGAGGTAATATGCCCTGAGGCTAGAATTCGTTTGTTACCGGGGAAGTAAATAACCACTTTAATGAAATCAGTTTAAAGGTGTTACCCAGAAACAGTCCTCCGTGAGGGAGGTGCACAAACATTGTGTGCCAGGACCTGGGTGCGTGTGCGCTGGGATTTTCCAGTGCCCGCCCCCGTTCTGCGGGCAGGTACTGGTCAGCCCGCCCCTTTGCAGGCAGGCCTCGGTTTCCTTCTGTACCTGTGATCACCCCATGACTGTTCTCACCCTTTCTCTCACTAGGCTTCTGATGAAGATGAGCGCGTGTCAGTGGGCAGCCGCGGCAGCCTGAGGGTCAGTACCCAGACTGACTGTTGCACGGTACAGTGTGTGCTCAGAATGCTTTGCTCTTTCATCTCTGCACCCTCATTTCTGGTTCATTATCCCTAAAGTCTGGTAGTCGATAGCTAACGGACAAGATGCTCATTTAAAATCTAATCTCTGGTGCGATGTTTCTCTGTTATTGCAGAGAGATTATTAATAAGCGCAGGTGTCTTGTCGAGCCTTTCTCCCAAGAGAGGAAGTCGTGATGTTCTTATCACAGCCCTGCCGCTCCCTCATCAAGTCGCCCCAGCACTGCTAATGCGAGGAGGGGATGTGAAGGCGCGTATTCTGGCCTTGAGGGAGTCCGCTGGCCTGTTTGCAGACGTCCCTCCCTCCCGATCGGTGTGGTCACCCAGTTAAGGTGACTATAATCGCAGTAGTTACTGCTCAGCGGTATTTCTGTGTAGCTGCCTGATAGCTGCTGTGAGCAGCCTGGTGGAAGGTTGGAGCAAACTAGATCCATCAGGCCCCGGTCTGCTCGCCTTCACCATCTGTCCTTCCATCAACTATGATCAAATCCTTCAGCACTGACAGCTCGACAGTGGATAAACACAAACACTTATTTTTCCTTTAACATCCAAAAATCTTCATAATTATACTTGAAAAATGCTGCGTGCTTTGGGAAGTGAAGTTGAGAAACTGCGTTCTGCTTAGTGCTTTAAGTCATTAAATTAATCTGAGCTTGTCAGTTTAATTTACCAGAGGGCTGAAACTGCATGTGGCTGCTGGAACTAATTAGGTCTCAAAGCAGCCACTCTGTTTTGCCTAAGGACTGTATGCAGTGGAAGTCTTGTTTATAATCATGACAATTAAACCATGATATCACTCCCAGAATCATTATGTACACACTCAGTGTGCCTTTGATTTGGCTGTTTCTAACAATAAACTGTAAGGTGATGATACGCTTGCTGTACAGTTAAGCAGTTGTCATTTCCCTGGCAGTGCCCAAAGCCCATCCAAAGTGAGTTTGCCAGAAAGTCAGGGCTTAGATGGGAGGACAGTTGAAGAGCTTCTTTGCTCTCTGAAACTTAGCCATACAGCGGTAACTTCCTCATAGACCTGCTGACATGACTCACCCTGGAGGAAGTAGGGGTTATGCAACCAAAATATTACAAGTGCAAAACTCGGTTTGCAGAGTCTGTAGACAAGGCACAGAAATGATGGCTGTTGAGCCAGCTAGTAAAAGGTAGAGGCCTTGAAACCAAGTGAGGAAGATACTGTGTGAAGAGGGAGGGTTATGAGCAGGTGAGCATAGACCACGGACTGACCTTTGGCCTCAGCACCACGGAGGACATTCGTGACCTTGACAAGGGCACTTTTGATGGAAATGGTGGGAGCAAAACCTGATTAATAGCAAGAGAGACTAGGAGAGATACTGGAGACAGAATCCAAATCTACCAAAATACTGTTTCAGATCTATGGTCCTCCTGAAATTGTATTCAGGGTTTTGTGTGTACTTGAATCTTTCTGGGAAAAGAATTTGTCACTTCCTTAAGATTCAAGGAGCGTTTCCTAACCCCAAAGAGTTTAAAACTGTTGTAATCCTAGTGTATATTAGTATGTTTGTAGCATTCATTTCATTTTTTAATTATTTTAACCAGAAATGAGTTACTTTTTTTGCCGGCACCATTCTTTGCCAGCATATTGGGTATATTTGTTTTAAGGTAAACAGGTTTATGGAGGGGATATGAAATTTGGATGTTAAATAAGAGACTTGGAGAAAGTGGAAAACCAGCGCCAGGTGGGATTTCCATTTTTGGCTGTGTGGTTTGCACACTACTCTTTCCTTAAGTACTTGATCTAAAGAAATAATCCTCTTTAAATGCCAGAGACCTTGAGAACTTGGACCCTGGAGATGAGTCAAACCCCATAATTCTTACAGGTGCAAAACAAGCCCAGAGCAATTAAAAGGTTTCTCGGGACCACGGCCCTCTGTGACAGTGTCAGTCCCCAGGCTCCTCGGGGGCCGGGAACTCTGGCCTCCCCTGTTGGTGGGCCCAGCAGGGCGACCCCACTGCCCTGCTGAGAGGAACTTCATCTCATTCCATCTCTGTAGTGCCCACTTGTGCATATTTTGTGCATTTTAATGTTTGGAAATCTTTAGTGGGCAAGGTTCATAGACCACATATTTTATTTCTTGGCTTTCCCAAAACACAGGCTTTCTGCATTCAACTGACAGTGATGATAAACCCTTAAAAAATGGGGGAAACTTTACTTTCTTAGTGTTTATATGGATATTCCTCTCAGAAAAATCTAGATTTTAGATATCATTTTTCATTTTCCTTATTGGGAAATTGATAATGATGCACCTTTCACCCGATTTTTACAGAGGAGGAAATAAGATTTGCTCAGAGTGCTTCATGAGTCACAGCCACATTGGCCACAGAAGTTTTATTTAATGTGGTTGGGCTTTATGGTAGCTGTCATTCTAATGTAATTCCTTTTGTAAATACACATGAGATCCTGAAGGTCATGAAGAAATGTAATTTTGTTAAGATTTTCGAGATTGCCTGTGCTTTATGTTTTGTTATGTTTTACTCAGCTTCTCAATTGATTTGTGGCCACCCTTTTTTCCTCCTCCATCCTTGCTCGGACGGTCGCAGCCTGATTTGGAGTATGGGGCCCCCTACACCTGGGTGAGATGGTTGGCTAGACCTTGCAGTGTGATCCTAAGAGTTTGTTGTGTGACAAATAATAGCCTGTGTGGTGTTTACTAATCTCATGGGTGTCTAAACAGCCAAGCACGTCTTTGTCCAAAAAGAGGCACATATCACCCGCCAGCGTCCCTGGGGGACTGAAGCCGGCAGGGCACGTGCTCCCACCAGAGTGAGCACTCTTCTTCCCAGGGCCCAGATGTAGCTCTTGTCGGACTCAGGAACCCAAGCCTGGGGCTCACAGGGCTGGAATCCACTCGGCAGCCATTTCTGAGCACCGGCTGTTTGCCGTGCACTGGGCCAGCAGCTGTGGGTACAAATGGAAAAAGCGTGCTTTCAAAAAATGCAAATCAAATCAAAGCTTCTACATTTCCTTTGAAAGACTTTTGAAAGTCACTTTATCTAGCGAGAGATCCATTATTTTCTCATCTGGATCCATTCAAATGTGAATGTGCAATCGGACGCTTTGGCCAGAAAGTATTCCGTGAGAAAGACAACAGTGCCAGTAACAGCAGTGAATGCTTTAGATTTAAACTTGTATTTCCCTTCTCACATCTGTCTGGAAGAGTTCGGCGCCTTCTGAAAACCCATAAGCTTAAAACTACACAAAAAAGAGGAAAAATTTAATGGCACCAGAAAGTACACTCAGGGTTAAAGTAATGCAGAATGAAGTTGTCCTAGCAGATTACACCCTTCTTCACTCTAAGGACTTCTTCTAAAAGCATTTTGAGCTTCATTCATTGCCCTGCATTTCAAAATTATGTGGCAAATTACCGCTTTGAGAATGTACTTGTACCTTTAAGCTGCTAATTAAGAGTGCTAAGCATCATCTGCACAGCACAGTTGACCCCCGCGCCTCCTGGTGGGGCTTCTGTTCTCCACTTAGCAGTCTGGAGGCCTGAGGACGGAGGGAGGGGAGGGGCTGGGGGCCCGCCAGGCCGGCAGGAAGCACGGACACGTGGCCCAAGTGAGGAAGTGCCCTTCCTGGGCTCTGCCTCAGCACTGTGGGGACCCCGAGGCTCTGGCTGCCCTTCCACCCTTTGAGCCATGAACTGTGCTAGTCGTGTGTTTCCAGATTTTTAGCCTCCTTATTTTAAACTCTAAGTTATATTTAAGGGCCAGTCCCCAGAGGAACACATGATATCTGCATTCCCAATAGTCAGGGACACTTTTTGGATTTCCTTTTTATTTTCAGTTTTCATTCTTTTTTAAAACTAAATTGAAAGCATCAAGTATTGCAGTTAAGAGTTTTGATTTTGCCTTTCTTTCTTTGTTTCCCAACTCTAACGCCCTTGAAAGCGGTCTGTCTGCTGAGTCAGTAGGGAGAGAATCTAACACCGTTAACCCAAGAAACTCGCAGCTGACTTAACGCCTGCCTGGTCTCGGGTGCTTTGACAGCCCTGCACAGCAGTTGGCGTTCTGACTGACCGCAAGTTGCCGGTTGGATGGGACACTTATCCTGGCATGTTACTATCCTCTTCTACAAAGTGCAAAATCGTGACCGCCTTCTTCCTTTTCTTTTCTCTTAGAGCAGCACATCTCAGCGTTACCGTGTTTAAGATGCACCTGGGACACTTTTTAAAATGCACATTTCTTGGCCCCAACTCCAAGTATTCTGATTTCCTAGGTCCGAGAACCATGGTCTTAATAAGACTCCAGGCCACTCTGATGCACGGAGTCTCACGTTAGGTTGATGGTAACAAACTTCTGTAGAGCAGAGCTAGTTGGACATCAGAGATGTGACTTAAGATGCAGCTGATATGCTGTTAAGGGACTTTTTATTCTGTCAGTACAGTTAAAATCTCCTTACCTGCTTATGCCACATATAAACAGCTTCACCCACCTACATGCCACACATAAAAACCATCCCAGGAGAGAAAGTTGGTGGTGGTCTTTAAGATCAAAGTACTTTCCACCAGAGAGATGCCAGTGAGATCCTATAGATTGGGGAATTTGTTCTAGAATTCCATTACAACTGAAAAGGGTGGGTGACCCAGAGAACCTTGGAAGTCAGAGCAGGGAAGGCTAGGGGAGAGACAGTGATGAGTGAGGGCGTGCCTCTGCCCTCCCATCCTTCACCCCACTCTGCTCTATGCTGCAGGCTGTCTTAGGAAGTAACTGAGAGTCCCAAAAGGAAGAGTACATCTAAAGCAGAATGTATTTTATAAGCACCAAAGGAAAGCCAGAGGGTTCATGTACGTAACATAGTTTACTCCCTCACTTATTACTCAAGTGAAGGTCATCTGAAGTTGACTGATGTTAGCCTTCATTATTATATTCATTTTTTCCAAAACTAGTTTCTAAACAGGTATCTAGGGAATAAGATTGGAGTCTGAAACATACAAGTCCTTGACATGTATTTCCATATCAAATAATGTTGTCAAGAGAAGAAAGGAAATTAGATTGAATAAAAATTCCCACCCATCTCTAAAGGTATTTTTACTATCAAATTTATTTCAGGCATGCTTCAATGTTTCTCACAGTCTTCAGATCTACTGTTGAGAAATTTCCATGTGCTCCTCGGTTTCATTTAGAAACTCAAACTGACTGACTTGTTTTTGAGTTGTAACAAGATACAAAGTCAAGGTTTTATGAATTTGGATTAATAATCCGTCTGGAAATTCATTTATTTATTCATTAATATCATAGCTGCAAAGTATGTGCTGACCAGTCTCCCCTCGCCCAGCCCTTTGCACAAGGCCAGGATCCCGGGTCTCCTGGGTGTTGGGCACCTTCCACAGGTGGTCACTCACCCACCGGTCAGCACCTGCCTCCCCAGGGCGCTGGCATAGGCACTTGGGATGCCCTCAGATCCAGTCCTCACAGTGGGGTATATACCACAATGTGCACATTTTCACAGCCAAGGAAGTGGAGGTTCCAGTGGATTAAGTAACTTGCTAAGGTCATATGACAGAATTTCCGTTTGGAATCTGTACTCGTGTCCATGAGCCCTGGCATCTCCTTTCATTTTACCAGTTGTATGGACTGCTCCTATTTCTGTCTCGAAAGTCAGTTGTGTCCCTGACACTTGACAGCTGTCACTTTGAAAGCAGGAATTTTCTTACAGACGAACAAGGGCAGATCTAGAAAGCTCGAGCTTTGGCCTGGGGGAACTTGGTCTGGGACTTGAGAGGAGAAGGCAGAAGGTCATTCACTTAATTTAATCATTCTTTTTCCTAGAGGACAAATTATGAAGCCATGAAAGATATCCTCAGATTTCATTTTGGAAAATAAAGTAGGGAGACTGGATGAATGAAAAACTAACCCAGAGGACGCACCCCATGAGAAACATTTTTCCCAGGATGAACTTTCGCATTCAGTTAGAGATTGGATAGAAGCTATTTCTGAAACTTATGAATATGGCTTCACAATGGACCATAATTGTCAAGGACTTACCTTAACCAAAAACTGAAAACTGATTGACTCAGGCCGAGTCCTTACCCCTTTGCCTGGCATCGAGGCTTCACTCAAGCTGGCGCTGCCACAGCACTTCCATAAAGGGAAACAGGGGAACTTCTAGGAAAGCAGGTGCACCCACACCCACAGGCTTCACTCCTCGGGAGGGACTCGGCCATGCCTGAAGTCCGAGAGTGACCCGTAGGTACAGGCAACACTGAGCGGGCTGATGTGATGTCTCCTGAGCTGCCCTGGAGCAGGGCACAAGCCTGGAGGCATTGGGGGCCTGCTGAGATGTGTGCTCCTGGGGCTGTCACTCATTCCCCCCCACCACCAAGAAAGCTCTATTTATACCCGACTAATCCTTACTTGCTGTTGTATATCTGTGTCTTCATCTGGGTACTAATGTAAGTTTTCTTCTTTTCTTCATTGAAACAGACAAATGGTTATGAAGGAGAATTATGTGGATTGCAATCCCTGAGTAGAAGATCTGGCAGGGTTAGTAGAGTCAATTTGCATGACACAAAATTCAGACAGGTTGCTGCAAAGCTTTAAAAAAATATTGCTAAATTTAGCTTCTCTGTTTTGTTTTGTTTTTTCTGTGTTATAATGGCTTTTTTTTTCCCTCGAGCACAACAAAAGCTAATGTTTTCAACTGGTAAATGTTTTTAGAATACAGCATTCTAAGTGTTAGTGTAAGAGATTGATATTGAAAAGAATTTCTCAAGTTTAGGAAGATCTAGAATTAACTATTAGCTCTTTCATCGTATGTGTATAATGTACATAATAAGTATATTCAGCTTTTAAAAACACTTACATTTGACATTTTCACAGCTGTGCATCCACACCTCTCATTTGTAATTTTGAAGACACATGTACTAGAGCCTGTGTTTTCCCGGATACAAATAAATGCTCAGAGTGCTGACAGATGAGGGGTGGGAGGCAGAGGAAGGGCAGGCGGGCAGGCTCTGCAGTAAAGGGTGAAGAAGGACGCGACCAACAGTGGGAGGGTGAGAGAGGCGGGGAAGCCTTTGGACTTCCCAAGGAGGTGGTTGGGGATTTCAAAAAGTTAAAGTGGATACATTTTAATTAAGTTTCATGACCTGCTGCAGATCTGTTACACATTATATTATCTAAAATCTTCCTATTATATTTTCATCATTTTTTTTTTTTTGTTTTTAATTTTTTTTTTTTTTCTAAATTTTTTTTTTTTTAATTTGTCTTCAGTATATTATATCAAGATGTATCATATATACACTTAAATTATATTTTCAGCTTTCTGAAACAGGCTGATGAGGTGTTCACCCTCATCCCTGTGAAGGACTGCACACACTTCTATTCTGTTTCATCTAAGCTTTTCTCATTCCAGACCAAAAATTCTTTCCGGTTTAAAGGCTGTGTCTTCCTAGTTAGGTTGCATTTCATACTGGCAGCCTTTGGACTTCCTCCAGTTCCGTTGTTTTTCTTTGAGGCAATACAGCACCCCGAGGACAGAAGCAAGCAACACACCATTCTGTCCTCGTGGGGTGCTGGGAGTTCTGCCCCCTGTGCTCAGTGTTGCTGCTGACTGTTGTTGCTGGCAGACCAGGGCAAAGGCTGCATGCAGTGTTCTGTGCGCCCCTAGACTGCTTGTTGGGGTTACACTGAGTAGCAACCAAGTTTTCACTCTAAGGCTAGAGTTTTGCCTTAGTTGATCACAAAAAATCATCCTTTAGAGCTGCATGTTACCTTACAAGTTCTTTAGTCCCATTCCACCCAACATAACATTCTTCTCTAGAATATCCCAAGCAAGGAGTGCCAGCATGATTGTGACAGTACAAGGCGATATCTATGTTGTACCTATAGCCATATGTTTTATTCTTTGATTTTTTTTATGTTAAAACAGTAAAAGTGTGTCTTTCAGTTTAATTTAAGTAATGCCTCTAGAAATCAAACACAAAAGAACTTGATTATAAAACTGGTTACCATGGAGTGAAACCAGATATAAGACTGATTTAATAAATAATGAGGAAATACAGTGATTGAAGAACCAAATAATCTACATCTAATGCAGCATCTGATACAGGAAGATCCCAGAGCAGAAAACTCCAGGAACAGGGTGAGGATGGACTTGGAGAAAAGATTGGATGGGAATGAGGGATTTTATAGACATCAGAAATACCAGTCTGTGGGAGGGAATAAAATGACCGGACTGATGATAACGGTCTGGAGATACCTGTTTCCTCTAGGGGGAACCCACAGTCTCCATGAGAGGGGAAGTGTTCGATCGTTTAGATCACTGTTTTATACGTCCATCTGCAGCGTTTACATGTATCACCTCCCCATCCAGATTCTTGGTTGGATCTGGTCTTTATTAAGTATGTAGTAACACACCATGCAGACAGCTGTGGGACATTCCCTCCTGGGGACGGTTCACAGCTGGATGGGGTCTGCGCTCTAAGGCTCCACTCACCTCCTGGAGCTTGGGCCGAGCCACAGCCCTCGGAGGGGCTGGGCTGAGGCAACACTGACAATTTTGCATTAAGTGCAGCCTTTTGAAGGTATATGATATGTGAAGTCCAGAAGAGGAGGCTACAGAATTTAGCAATTCAAGTAATGCAAGAGATGCAAAATTGTGAGAAACAGTGCTAATTAAACCATACAACATCCCTGAGACCTAAACCCTGACACAAAATATAGTTCAGAGCCTCTAGTTGTCGAGAATCTCTGCTGTAGCGGAGTGCCTCGATTGATGAGCTGCATCCGCATTTGCACAATACTGATACAGCTCTCGTTGCGTTATTTTATCTGTGCCTTTTAGCTGGGGCAGATGGTGCTTTGGGGATAACAAGGAAGCGCTCACGTCACTGACAGTGTCTTCTTTGGTGCTCAGAATTCCAGCTACAGTGGGGACAGCAGATTCTCTTCTTGGTCAACATCCAGAGAGGACAAGTTGGTTGGTTTCCATTTAAATCTTTCACATCCCATCTTCAGAAAACACAGGTTTTGTGGCATGCAATCTTGTGTGTGTGAATGCAACCCTTTTTCTCTTTTAATATCTGTTTTATGAATTTTCATTTGGATAGATGTTAAAGTCAGTTTCTGAGCAGTAATTAACTTGGCATACTTAGTTCAGACTTACCCACTGTCTTGCATTTAAATTCATATCCAAATGCTTGAATTTGGGTACAATGAAAGAATTTTTGTATACTTTGTAGTTAGAAGTCATGAGAAGGAGAAGAAAAGAAAAAAGCCTTGAAATTCTTTACTTGATAGTCCTTGACAAGAGAATTGCTTTATAGGGTATGTGCAAACTTGGTGGCAATTTCTCAGGCATGGACTAGACTTGGAATGAAATCCAGTGACACCCAGAATGTCTGCACAATAGAGTTCCTTTCATTCTTTAAGAACTTGCATCAATCTTGATAGGCAAGTATTTCTAAACTACTTAAGAACCCTGTTAGGTAAGGCTCATTTGTCCTAGGTAATTCACTCAGTCACCCAGCAGACATTAGGGAACTAGTTAGGTAGGAAGATCTCAAAGCTCAGCAGGTGAGGTAGGTACTCTGGAAGCATTTACTTCTGCAACAGAGAACAGACCCACCTGCCAGAGACACCGGCCCAACGGAAAATAGGAGGATGGGGAGAAACTCATTTAGCCAGCAAGATGCAGACTGAACCTTAAAAAACACACAGGAGGAAAAAAAAAGAATAAATAGGAAAATAAATAGAAGCTAAGCAAGTCGAGCCAGAGAAGTCTTAACTCCTGGCCCTTCCTTGCTTCCCCACCTGCCAGTCCCTCTGCGGGGGCTCCAGCCCTTGCTACTCCAACCTGAATTACTCACCAAAGCTCAGCATGTGTCTGACCCATTTAAATTCATTTAAGAGAGATAACCTCCATCCACAGTGTTCAGGTCAAAATTAGAGCTGGTGCATTCAAAACACGAAGCCCTTCGTGTCCCCACCAGTATACTGGCTGACGGCTTGTTTTGCTCACCAAGCCACAGGTTCTTCCTGCTAACCGCTGTGCTCCAAGGGGCCTTGTCTGTTCCTGCACAGCACACCAACTGGTTTAACTATTTAAATCTAGCAGTGGGAAGGTATCAGTGTGGTGTGTAGTACTGAAGACTCTTCTGAATAAGTCCTGCATCCCTCAGATTTGTCAGAAGCCCCCCAGGACATGCCGCTGCAGTGTTGGGTGGAGGCAGGGGCCACTTGTCCCACCCGGGCCTTTGCTCTTCGGTCCCACAGGGGGGTTGACAAAATGGTTCCATACAGGGCATTCTCCCAACTGTTGGAACAAGTTTCAGTGTTTGTGTTAAATATTGGAAAGTTTCTCCCTGTCCACCCCAGAATGCCATTGGCCTGCCGCTCAGGTCATTTTGGTATTGCTTATTCTGGGCACAGGAATTCCGAGCACAAGTTAGGCGACCTTGAAGGGATGGCAGAATGAACATTGTAAGGTGCACCAAGTTACCGGAATGGAACCACATCCTCCCCATGGACCGTTCCGTGCTGGCGTGATGAGTAGAATACTGCCAGCAGAGAGATCTGGAGCAACTAGCTTCTCTAAGGGTCCTTTAATTAGGAGAGAACATTTTATTCAGGATTAACTATTAATTTATATCATAGTATCCCCCAGAAACGCATAGACTATTTGTCTCAGAGTTATACCACTGAATTTATCATGTCTTCACTGACTCCTGAACACATGTGCATCATATAAATTCCTTACCAAGGTGTTGGGGAGGAAGAAATGTCCTCTGCCCCTCGCTGCTCTTCTCACTGGTCTAAGGATCAAACTGACGTGAGACAGATTAGCAGGAGACAAAAGTCAAAGCTGAACTACCTACATATGGGGAAGCCATAGACCTGGGTTCCAAAGACAGGGAGAGGGAGGCATATATGCCATCCCGAGCCGAGAAGGAGAAGGAGTCTGAGACTTCAAAGGAAAAGGCAAGTAATCTGACTCCTGAACACATGTGCATCATATAAATTCCTTACCAAGGTGTTGGGGAGGAAGAAATGTCCTCTGCCCCTCGCTGCTCTTCTCACTGGTCTAAGGATCAAACTGACGTGAGACAGATTAGCAGGAGACAAAAGTCAAAGCTGAACTACCTACATATGGGGAAGCCATAGACCTGGGTTCCAAAGACAGGGAGAGGGAGGCATATATGCCATCCCGAGCCGAGAAGGAGAAGGAGTCTGAGACTTCAAAGGAAAAGGCAAGTAATTCAGTCCACCACACCTAGGTCACAGTATAATTCAGCCACTGGCCTTGATTGTTCTCAGCTCTGAAATCTGCATGTCACAATCGCATGTCTTGGGGCCGCCTGCCCTTGGTCCCTACCGATTATCTCCAATGAAATACTTTATTACATAAAGGTTATCTGTAAATTCTTGGTTTTGAATTTTCCACCAAAAAAGAAAAAACTTAAAAATTTAGAACTCAGATTACAAAGACCTTTAAAACCCTGTGGTCTTGCTAGCAATTAAAATTATCGAAATCTGTTTCTGCCTGGGTAGGACTCAAAAGTCCCAGTTTGGTCCCAGGTGGTAGTTTGTGGGTTGACTGGACTGTCGCTGCCTCCTGACCTCCCTCCGCCCCCGTTGCATGCTCTCCACCGGTTTTGCTGTAGGAGACAGTTTTGTGTGAATTTACAGTCCTGAGGTACCTTTGAGGTGACACGAAGCTGTGAGCCTTTCTCTCCTCCCGCCCGTTTTGTCTGATTACAGGGACTGTCCGGCTCTGACCTCGGGCTTCCCAGTAGCAGCCTGGCTCCCAGACCCCTGTCTGCCCAGAATGGAAACCGGGTCTGTCGTGTTTTCACATCACTTTCCCCCCCCCCTTCTCTTCTCTGTATCACTTTAATTGCTGATTAAATGCATGCGGATCCTTCAACCTCTTCTATCTGAAGGCCAGACGGCAAACGCATGTGTTTCAGTTGGCTTGATTAACTTGCTAAGGCTTTTCTCAGCCTTTTAAAACACAAAATAATTTAGATCCTTATATAGAAGAAAAGGAGTTTAGGAAAAAGGGGGCTCTCATTTATATTTCCACAAGCACAAGTCCAAAAAATTGGTCCCTTGGGTCTCTCCTCCTTTTCCAGCAATTGTTCCCCATTTGGGGTTTCATTTGTTTTCTTAAAAATATTTTTCTCTTGTAAATGTGTCCAGGAAGCAATTTGGAAGGCTTTTGTGCATAATCCGACTCCTCTGCCTTTGGGAAGTGGGGAGAACAGCGCTCCTTCTTTGGCCAGCACTGCCGTTTCCTGTTTTTACAAGCCCAGCCTGGCGGTGCGAAGCCTTTCAGCTGCAAGTGTCCGGGTCTCGTGCAGGGAAGTCAGGACCAGAGCTCTGAGTGCAGATCATGTTGTGGAGGCTGAGTGGTCATCTCCTTGCTGGGTGACTCATTCCTGGTCACGCACACTCCCTGCCCGGCGCTGCGGCCTTCACAGCCTCTGTCTGTAAATGAATCATGCTCCTGTAATGAGCTCAGCCCCGGGCCGCACCGGGGAGCTGCCTTTAAGTTCCAGCACACCCTGCACAGGCACTGGCTGGCTGGGTTGTGTTCCGGGTGAGGATTGCCTTGTGACAGGGAGGCACCCGCCCCGGCCAGTTGAAGCGGCCTCACACTCCTTTTGTATCTTTAAGGCTAAGGCTGGGGTCCTTGGGGGGAAATAACAGTACTGTTTCTGTGCATGCTTCCTGTGTGGGAATGTCCGTGCTTCATTAACCTGGGGTTTCGAGTTGTGGCCGGCTTGCTCTTGGTGGCGGTGGTCACCTTGTCACCAGTCTTTCTCACCTGGCCTTTTCTTCCAGGAGCGCCTGAAAAGAAATGACTAGAATATAGCTGCATTTCAGGGGTTCTGGGGAAGTTCACTGTTTTGAAAGTTAAAAATCATCTTATATTCATCTTTCTTGTAAATTTGGACTTGCATGTATCAGCTCGACTGCAAACACGGCGCACACACACTCGTTTCTTCCGACGGCCGCACCGTGACTGGCCTCCGTGATGACTGGCCACACGCGTGCCTTGTCACTGTTGCTTGTCACTGTTGTTTCCAGGCCTTTAAAACCTGCCGTTCCCTCTCATCCTCCTGCCCTGTCTGCACAGCGCCGCCTGGCCGGCTCGGAATTACCGGGTGCGTCTGCTCCCCAGCGGCCCCCGCACCCCCTCTTCTGTCCCCTGGCCACATCACCACGCCTGCGCACCCGCCGCCTGCATGCCCCTCTGGGGTGGGGATCCCCCTGTTTGCAGCCCTGAAACGGGTGAATCACTTGTTCACGTGGAGCTTATACGTGCAGTGTCTGCCAGTCCCCTTTGGCCAGGTCTGGGTTTTATTTCTCCAGATGGCCGACAATAGCTGTCCCACCACTTAAGCCGCTAGGAGAGTCATAGGATTGTTGGGTAGGAATGGAGCAACACTGATGACTCACTTTTTCCCTTTGGATATTAATCCATTGTACTATATTATTTAGGTCATTTCTAGTTTTAAATAAAAGGTACTTACACTGTGCAGGAAACCTAAATATTCAAAGTTGGTATATTATGCTGTTAGTAAGTGTCTTGCCAATGGGTTTCAGCTCTTCACAAGTTCACTATGGATTCACTGTGACCAAAGAAATGACAGTAGAACTTTCTTGGGGTAAAAGGGGTTATACCCAACTTTATTTACACGGTAGCAGGTCAGTCACTAGAATCCTGTCCACTCAGAGCGAGTCTGCAGGCAGCAAGCCGGTCTCTGCCTGCACAGCCGTCCTCTGAGCCTCTGTCCTCGGCGCTGCCACCACTCCAGCCTCTGCTCTGCTCTCCTGCAGCCTTGCAGCCATGCCACCATGTCACCCAGAGCACTGGGCAGGACTCTTTATAGAGTCAATGATGCTGCATTGCCTACACGTGTGTAGTGAGCTAGCCAACCAGGGCCAGATGAGAATCCTGGCCACAGGAACCTTCACTTAATCCACAATAAGTTTCTGAACTTCCATGAGGTTGCACACTTATGAATTAGATATATAACTGGCTGGGCAAACCAGCTGTGTCCTCAAGGCGAAATAGAGAAAATTGAAGTTCCTTTTTGCTGGGCAAAATTTGACAAGGCCATTCATGGTATTGTAAACTCCTGTTTACCCTCAGTGATTAGTTACAGAGGATTTTCAAGTTAATCACATACTCTGTTTTCTATTTAGAAATTTTCAAAGAATTATAAGATATTAAGCTGTAATTAACCTCTGGTTTATTCCAAAGTCACTTCATGTTAGGATAATTTTCTACACATGAAGTATGAAAATGGCATGACAAAAGTCAAGATGTTTGAAATACCTGCTTGTTTTCAATCTGAATTGACAAGTTTTTACTTAGAAAGGACTGTTTTTCAGAATAGTGGATTTAAAGGATCTGCCAGAGATCATGCTGCATGCCAGCAACTGAAACCTCTCTGAACTTTGCACGTCCTTGTTTGGCCGCACAGCCTGTGAAGGCGGTTTTGAGCTTTCCCTACATGCTTTACATTGGGTTGAGTTCAGGACCTGTTCCTGGCACGTGTCGATCTTCCTGCGCTTACGTTTTAACGGTTTCCAGGTGCCGACGGAGAGAGGAAGGCGCATTGTGCTGACAGTCTGTTTTCCTCGCAGGCGTCTGTGTTCGATGACAGCAGTCTCGGTGGGGCTCGATGGGGCCGTGCCTGCGGTTCCCACACTGTGAGGCACTTCCTGTGGTTCCCAGAT